TTCCGAGTAACATGGGTTAAACGCTTGTATCGAGAGATACCGATCTAACCCGAGCTGCTCGTTGGCGCCATAAAAACAAAACATCTTCAACACGACCACTTTCTTCCCTAAATTATTCGTGGAATTTACGACGTTTCAACCGACAAAAATGTTATAACCTAATGAGAAATTATCATCAGGGCCGATGTCTGTCGTCCGCGGCCCGGCAAAAAACGAATCATGAGCCGCTCCACGATCATGTCGGACGCATATTTTTTACATTCTAAATTCGAATTATCATTTTCGTGTTTGTTTTTTACCTCGATCGTCGATTGTTTTAGGTTGTGACGGGACAAAAAGGCGCGGGAGCCGCCGATGACTATGCCATTCTGTTGATCGCTCAACTTTCGGCCCTGGTTACAATGATGAATCTTTTTGACGTTTAGCATACATCGCGGATTCTGTACAAGACCTTGTCACGAACATGCTTGGGAAGTTTGTGATGGACACCTCGCATTTAAAAAAATCTGTATAATGATGTTTGGTTTGTTCCCAGGAGATATTGCGATATGATCGCCCGTAGGCGGCGACTATTCGGCGCGTGCTTCAGATTCCTGGTCCTTCTATCCGGGATTACCCATTACATACAATGACGTTTCGTTTTGGAGCGACAATTTTTTTGTAAAAGTTTCATCTAAGCCGTCATTACAGTAAACGTTTTCTATCAATTTAAAATTGTACAAACAACTTACTTCGTCGTGATTTCAGTTAAAGGGGTCTAATGTTTACCGTAATTGTATTTCACTTTATAAATATAATGGCTTGGACGTTTATTTACTTTTAATCCACACCTACTGGACACTCTCTATAAAATTACTAAGTTTGTTCAAATTTTACTTTTTTATTTTTTTCTCAATCGAAAGTTTGTGAACTGGTTGGAAAACTTTTTGACCTGCTTAATTCAAATTAAAAACATAGTTTTATTGATAGTAGTGATGATAGTAATAGCACAGTGATGTTGGCCATATTGCTCGACACTTCGAGTTGAACACTTTTGGACAGGACTGTTCTAATGCCTAAGTAAACTTTTTCCTTGATTGCAGGTAAACCAAATGTTCACAAATTAACGTGCAAGCTAACTGATCGAACCCCCATTAATTACCTCCTGGCACTGTAACCTCCCGCTGCTATTGGAGTCTAAAACAAAGAGGCATTATGTCAATTCCGTTGGAGAACTGCGCTAGCAGCTGCGATATCTCTCAATCTGGCACGTCGCAGTGCGCGGCTAGAGAATGTGTAACGTCAAGTGGTGGCTAGAGCTGGAGGAGTGACGCTGTGACGAGTAGAGTGGAGTGGATCGGAAGACGGCGACTGTCATAATCTGATTATTAGTGGTGCGTGGTAGGGGCGGGGCGCGCGGCGGGCGGCCGGCGCGCTGCAGGCGGTCGGCGCCCGCGCACGTCCCGCTCGCGCGCAGCCGCTCAGCCCGCGCAGGCGACAAACGACCCGTGGTAAAACAAAAGGAATGTTGCCGGCGACGCTTTGAGGCGCCGGCGCCGCTCCCCGCGCAACCTAATCACCCATTTTAATTACGACACAGATCGAATCAATTAATCGGTATTTCTGTTAAAACAAGCGATGGAATGAGCTTACGCTCGTTTCTTAGATATGATTTCTTGACGTAGATTCGAGATGTGATTAGACTTTATCTCGTAAAAGTCGGCGGTTAACGTCAATTACGGGCGTAATTCACGTTCACAAATTGTTGTGAGCAATGCGAGTCTGTACCTGCGCGATCTGGCGGCTCAAGCGTTGAGTTTGGGCTGCGCTAGTGTAGCAGACGTTTTTAATTATAACTTATGATTTTTTCAAGCGAATTTGGGCGCGCCCTTCCCGACGAATAACACAAGAATAAATAACGAGTTTTTGTGTTGTGTGTTTGTTTTTAAAATGGCGGGAGGTCCGCGCGACGACACGCGAGCGATGTGCGCCGGCCGCCGGCGGCCGCGGCCCGACGCGCCCATTTGTCATATTTCGGTTTTGAGAAAAAATAAATAACCTACTCTATTCGAAGCAGTGTTTGTTTGTACACCGATTATTGAGGGTTAAGTACATTATCTCTGAACATGCAGTAGAACAGATGGGTCTTGTCGCCGACAGCGTGCAGCGTATCTATCTAGTTTATTATTGCGTTGGCCGAGCGATTGTCGCCCGGCCGCACGCGGCCCTCCGATGTTGACATAATGATTGTTGTTTTTTAATTGGTGATGTCATTTTAAGTGTCTATGTATCGTCTTCATACAGGTTTTGACAAAGTCATTACGTAATGTTTCCAACGTTATTAGTTTTAAAAACAGACAATTGTAAGCGAGAACACAGTTAGAACCTGTTGAAAAGTAAACATTGGAGTACATAACGCCGCGTAGCCTTCCTATATACGAAGCAATTTACAATTCACAGGTGGTAAAATTGAGATGGCTGTTACACAGACAGATCCAATGTTAACACATATAGCTAAGCATGGCCGCCGAGCGCGGCAGGTGTTAACTCCGACTACACACGCCGCCCGGCCCCGCTTGCACAAACGAACCGCCCAAATCTCCTGTTTACGTTACCAATTAACCCGCCAAACCCAGCCCCGCTCCGCGAACCAGACCAGATAAAGAATACAAGAACAGCTTTTAACACTGTTTGAACAACAACTAAAAGCATTGCCTTACACGACACTGACCAATGTTACTAGTTCTGAGCATCGCAGTGTTCATTGCCCGCTCTTAGAGAATAACTCAATTACTGCGCGCACGCACCGCCTCGCCTAGTGCTCAATACGAGAAATGCATGAAATATTTTTGACCCATTTCGATTCGTATGGCGCCAGGGTCGGCGCCGGCGCGCCCCCGGCCTCTCTCACGAAGCATCGTTAATACAAAACAAACAAAAGTGACCTCTAGACGGCCGCGGCCAGCTAAGCTAACGAGATTCACCAACCGCTGGATAAAGCGGTAAATTATCGGAATGTTAGCCGGGCGGCGGCGCGCGGTGGTCTGCGCCGGCGGCCGAGCCAAAAAAACGTGTAGGAGATGACAGGAGCACAGATGAACCCGGCTAATTATCAGCCCGCGCAAAAACCGGGACAGTGCGCAGGCGCGCCGCTACAGCCACCGCGCATGACAGCTATTCGTTTGCGAGCAGCGTCTAGTTTTTACCGGTCATTTTAATAAGAGAGTGGTCGAAGACGCGATGCGGTCCTCGAACGCTAATTACACGCCATTAATTACGGAATATTTTCATTTTTAATTCCGTCAGAAGTCGAACGGACGTGATGCTCATTATTAATCGAACTTTCTTTTGGCGGCGCGCGGCGATGGTGGTCGGCCTCCGCTCTTAACCGTGAAACAATTACGTATCCAAAAATATTATCAATATCTAACGAGTCAATCTGCGGCTGATTGTGAGAAACATAGACAGCAATTGTAAGTACCACGTGTAATGTTCCGCTCCTTTGAGTTGCCGAGTGGCCGAAGATGAGCGCGTAACGAGCTGGCTCGCGGACCCACCACGCGGCTCTCGCTCGCAGGAAGGGCGGAGGCGCCGAGATCGCGACGACTGTATAATTTCTTCACTGCTCGCACCCACATTATCGATCACGAAAAAAATATAATTGTAGGGGTACCGTCGTAAAGCAAACAAGCTTATAATAAGGTGTAATTTGTGCTCGGCCATTTAGAGAAATGCACAAATTGCCGGGGCAGCTGTTTGTTTTGTCTATGACGGAGGTCCGGCCCCGTCTCCCAAATTATCCGTTAACAAGCCTCGCGTCAGATTCAGCAGTCCTAATGGGTTTTCGTTAAGTTTTTGTTATTATTTTGTAATTTATTACGAGTAATATGTTTTTGTATTCGATTCTTGGATTCCGACAGCTGCATCGTTTAATTGAGTCAATAGTTAGGCGTAGTTTTTCGATGAATTGTAAATGTCGTTGGGCGACGAGGTCGCGCTGTCATTGTTGCGTTATGTCACTGGCGAATGCAGGGTAGGGCGGGCGGAGGGCGGCGCGCCGCGCTTCCCACGAAACGTCGCTAATAGCCGAGACAGGTGCAAATTATGAAATATCTCTCAATTAAATATCAATATTGAGTATTTATACATGGAAAACAATTACAAACATTGTTATTCGCCAATTTTATGGTAAACTTGAAGGTATAAAATTGTAGTAAGACAATGTTTTGTTGAAATTAAAATGCTAAGAAACTTAAATACCACACGTTTTGTGTTGACAGAAAAACATAGGATCAAACAGAAATGCTTGTGTACAGTTTCTGCCTTAGATAGAAGGTAATTATAATTATGTGATCCGTTCTCAGGACCTGCTAATACGATTGTAACAAATTGAAGATCATTTTTATATGTAATAGGTTTGATAGCAATTTGATTCATTATGACTTAGGTCATTAATGTTATTATAAATGACCCTGGTACCGACCTACCACACAATTCAGTTAAGTTGTTCGAATCATACATGTGCCGGCGGCGTTACGTTTGACGTAAATTAATCTAGATGCCCATTTTACATAGTCGTACAGTATTCTATGTTTAACAATAAATAATTATTTCTTTGCTAACTTTGGACTATGTGATACTGATAATATACTGATCATTTTTGTGATAGTTACTCATCGAAGCTTGGCAAAGGGCTACGAAGTTCAGGCTTGGTCGATTTACCTAAACCTACAACTCTTTGTAGTATTTTGGTCCTTTGATCAGATTCAGTTAAAAGTTTGTAAATCATATCATAATAATATTTATTGAGGCTGTGATGTTCAGTGGAGGTATTATATTAAAATATAACGTTTTCCTTAAACTGACATATTTATCGCATTTAGGTACGATATGTTGCAAATCCCTCCAAAGTCATCCCACTATTTTGGTCCTTTATTCAAAACTTTTTTATTCGTATTTTTTTTTGCAATATACATAAAAATCTTTAAGCAAATATAAAGTATATTATTTGTTAGACTCACCTTCCTCCCTTAGTAATGATCATTTCAGTGCCGATGTCGTGGAAGCGCCGCCAGAGGTCGCCATTGAGCAGGCGTGCCTCGCAAGCCGGCGGTTCGGCATCCGCACCCACGCGGTGTTCTAGCAACAAGAACATATATTTTTATTAAACATGGACATATTTTATGTTGGTGAATAAATAAAAAATAGATAAATAGTATGCAAAACTACTTTGTTGTTCTATGGGGTCGTAAACAAGACCATTGATATGAATTTTTGGGCCTAAAAACGTTTTAAAAATATGTTTTAGTTTTAAAAGTTTAACTAACTGGTAAGTACCAATAAAATAAATTTGTAACAAAAATATAACACTAGATAAATCTACTAAACAACTTGAAAACAAATAATTATGTCTCTATAATCTATAAATAAAGCTTATTAAGTATGAATTAATTTGTTTCTTATTCATTTGGAGATAAGATAAGCGTCCAAAATTTATTTGAAATGCTCTTAAATAATGTATTGCAAATCATCTTTCCAAGGTTCTGACAATGTAAGGATATTGGTAATTTGATTGTTAAAGATAAAAAAGTGATACATAATTTAATATAAATTCATACGACAATAGATTTTATCTTCACGGAATAAAGATGTTTTACAGGAAAGGTTATTGAGATAAGAATAGCCGTGAACCTAAAGGCATTTACACTCGTCACACGTCAACAGCTATCGGTGCTTACTGCTGAGCAAAGGCCTCTTCTCTCATGAAGAAGGCTTGATCATTGATCACTACGCTCTTTCAAAGCAGACAGGTGATTTGAGAGATAAAAAAATAAGTTGGTTAGCTTCACGATGCCTTGATTTCACCGTGTACATATATCAGTAGTCTATAATTATATTATAAATAACATATACCTAGAAAGAAGTTACGGATTAAATAAAGTAGATTACAAACTTTTTTCTTGTTTTAAATATAACAAACTACCAAAATAACAAACGAGTTCTTAATCAAAATAAAAGTGCATCAAAACTCTGTCCGTGACGAGCCGTTTATTAGCTGTGACAAAATTTTATACATATTTATTACATATCAAGGTTCGACACGAGAACTTGTCGTTTCCTTTATCAATATTTCAATATTAATACTCGGAATATGATATCCGCTCATCTTTAATTAACCACTGATGACATACAAAACGTATCAAGCAATCAACGACGGTGACGCCACCTACCCTGAATATTTTATTGCAAAAAAATATCATTCATGAACTTAAATTGTAATTTATTATATATGTGTGGGCGGTTCTTTTGACGGTCCCTTCCGATGTGTATGTGGAATATAGTATTGAAATTATTATTGAGAAATACTGACGTTTATTATGTTTGGGAGTTGTATTTGAACTTTGGTTAAAAGGGTATAAAAATGTACACCTAACTTTAAATTTCTCTGGAATTGACGCTTTATGTTTGTATATATAATACATAACAACGTAAAAAAGTAAGCAAGTACATATACTATATAATACCTCTAAGTACTGTCTAGCAATTGATGGAAAAATAGTAAAATTATCAAAACTTTACTCTAAGAAATTATTGTTCCCGTCATTTACAACAGTTGTAAACACAATTAGAATATTTTTTTTTATTGCTGCTTACTTTTCTAAACGTCTGTAACTGACAGCGTAATAAATTTTATTATTTAAAACTTGCAACGTGAACAGAAGAAATGCATACAAATAATTTGATATCGGGTCTTTTGATCCGCAGTGCGCGGCGCCCGTCGCTAAACCTTTCTCATAAAAAGAAACAATATTAAACTCCCTAACAACTTACACTCTTCAATCGTGTCACCACAAACATCTGATTGTAAACTTTATTGTAATTGAATAAGTTTGAAAATGACATGCATGACACGAGATGGTATCTGTTCTTTTGAGGTTTGTGTCGTATTACCTCATTAGTAGTGTTTCTATAGAGAGTGGTCAGTCAGATGATAAGCGTATCGGTAGGAAAAATAGTATTTATTATTATGTTAATAAGGTCGTGAATGATCCGTGTCACGCAAGCTAATTTTATTTCACTCTTTATTGTGATAAAGATGATGAGCTGTGTAATGTTTGCTGTTTTTTTTTTATTATCATAAAGATCTTTTTTGTCTGACGGTTTTGTATCTAATTTACATTGTAATAGAAGTTATAATTTATTTGACGTTCTTAAGCCACATGGAGGAGAATATTTTGAGCTAAATTTAAATGAAGTGTAGATATGATTTTACTAGCTTGTATATCAATAACTCTCAATCTACAAAGCTGTAAAATATTTACACTTTTTTTAAACCAACTGTGCATGCAAGTTGTAAAAAACAATGTATAGAATAAAGGCACAAATATTATAATTATGTATCGAACAAAAACGATGATGTACGACGCTACAATAATTTGACGAGAGGACATTGATGGCCCGGCAGTTACTCTGGACGCTTAACAAGCAATTATATTTTACAGGATGCGATCATCTCGTCTTGTTCGTGAATGGATTTTAACTGATACTGTATACTATTTTATTATTGGCAGTGTTATTGTTTTGTGCTGTGACATCCTGAATAGAATTGTGTTTTAATTTTGTAGTGAAATTTGTATATATAAGTAGTGTTACTTAATCATTTTGTTTTTATAACTATTAAATACGATATATGTATAACTAAAACTTTTGAATTAGATTGAGTGCTAAACAGTGACGTTATACATTTTTTTATTAAATTGTATTCTTACTTCTGTTAAAAATTAATCTAAAAATTTTATCGATCTATGAAAATGATTTTTTTAAATACTTACTCTAGATTCTCCTATTTGTGAAAACAGTTTTGACCGAGTTATAATAGGTACGTATTGAATTATGATGAGACCATAATATGTATTGGTTGAAAATGTTAAGTAATTAGTATTTTATCTAACATGTTTCGGATTTGTGTATGTATGCAATAAAGTATGCTTAAATAAATAAATAGAAATAAAAAAGTTGATAGAGATTCAATTTTTAAAGTTCAAACAAAATTTGTTTCTGATTATAATTAACCACTATAGAAAAGGGAATTTCCCTTTACCTTATTGGACAACCATAATAAAAGTATTTATAAATAATTTATTTATTTCTACAACATAAAATTTTAATGAATGTGTAATATTCGTATTGTCAATGAAACTGACACATGCTATAACTATGTATAAATAAACATATCACTCAATTATACACCTCATTATCTGTTTATACCTTATTAAAAAAATATAATTTGTGTTGCCAACATGAAAATGTATGAAGGTCTGTTCATTTAAAGGATAATGTCGAAAATGTGTGAAATCGGCTCGATAAATAAATGTGTAGGCTTACAACACTTGTGTGATAAGAACAGATGTTGTACATCTGGACAAAATGACCTATACCAGGGACTCAACTAGGTACGTATTCCTATGTGTTTAGCTATATAAAACTACATCATTCAATTTCAAACCCTAATCATGCTAACATAAAGTCTTTAATCATTTGTAACTTATGAGCAGGTGCGCTCCAATGTTCTAGGTACTACGTGGCATATTGGCTCCGTCATGCGATTTTATACCTTAATCTTGTGTCTTTAGATGTATATTGAAGTGTTATAAATTGATGTTTAGTTTTATGAATTTAAGGTATTTTACAAAAAGTATATAATTAATGGACGCCCTTTACTTTGCGTGGAAGAATTATTCGCAGGGTGCACAATAAAATAAACTTGCTACATAGATATAAACTGAGTTTTTATAAAACAGTTATTCTGGAACAAGAAAACAACATTTAAATGTATTTAAAACAAACCTATTTATTCTGAGTTTAATGTTTACTTATCTAAGCATTGCACAGAATTTTCTTAGGCGCCCACCACCCACTACATACCCCTAACATCCAGATCATACACCAGAACATGACACCAATAATTCAATTTATAATAATTATTATACATGTGGAAGTTATGTATGTATGTATATAAAATATGGTTGATGATATTCTTCCAAATTTTGATTCAAATGATATTAAGTAAACTTATAATTATAATCTGGAATAAGGTACTTATAAGGTACTTTTTATTATGGAAACGCGGACGAAGCCACTGGAAGAACTATGTATGTTGTAGCAAATTAATCCTAACCTATTCTTGTTTTTATTACGAATAATAACTTATTTTTTAATAAAATAAAATAATGATATATTTATTTCCACGAAAATTTTGCTCGATATTTAAAAATACATCATAGGGTTCAAAATCACAAAGCAAATACATCTCACTACACACCTTTCACCCTATAAGTTAATTACACAAAAATAACGTTAATCCCTAAGCGGTTGAAACAATGGAGTAAAAACATTGTGAATGAGTAGATGCCTGCACGGTAGAGGGCATCATTATCTGTCTGACTAAATAATTGGCGTCACGTGGACCCCAACACTTATTATGTGACGCACTTCCTTTATTTTATGCGAAGGCATCCGCGCTGTTAGATGGTGATATTGATTACTTGTAGCTAATTTTATAAGAAAAGCTATTGTGAAAATTTTGTTATTGTAGGTTTAGCAGATGTTAAGTTACAAGCAAAAAATGTGTTTGTTGCTTATTCAGGATGCCAATTTATCAAAGCATACGAATAATGGTGTATTAACATTATTTAATAAGTAACAATTCTAATCTAAACTCATGTTTCATGGAAACATGTGACCGCTACAACCCTTCGTAGCGCTCATACAAAAGACATCAACGCGCATAGTAACTACAGGCAATTAGAGAAATAAAAATATATTTATTTTTATATAATATACATAGCATGTGTTTAATATTTTACCCATCGCTGTGTAAAATATTTATACAGTTATGTACCTATTTATATTTTAATAACATGAATTATAATGAACTATGTCACATATTTTAATACATACTTGTCAATTTCTTAAAAATATTGTGTAATTATTTTAACAAACAAAATGTTTCCGTTAAAAACATAAATAGTATTAATTTTTTTGCATCTTCTTAACGAAGAGGTAGAATTATTACATACACTTTTCAGTAATTACCTAATAATAACTTCACCCGAAACATGAGATCCCTAGTTCAACAGCCACGCTATAATCAGTCAACCAACAAGCGATAAAAAAGCCTTAAATAACACTTTTTATTTGACACACGGTGTGTTCCCATTCAGGTTTCAAGTCATGACGAATGTATCCATTGTTTCTCTCAAGAAATAATACTGTTAACCAAACGTTTTGTTATTTGATGGTGTTAATCAAATAATTTGTTTAGCGCAGTCGCAGTGAATTGAAATAGAACCTTATTCTGTTATATGGTTAGACCTCCTCACCTCAGCGGCTGATGCAAGTAGCGTTAGGCGTATTTGTTGTATTCATAAACATTCATTACATTTCTTCAGTAATAAAGATAAGTAACTGTTGGTTGTGGTTTTAGATAAGTAGGTAATATACTTAAATGCCAAACTATTTTGTATTTCACAAACAATGTATACTTTTCCTTTTTTTGGCTATTCGCCATATTTTATTATGTCAGCTTTTTATTGCATTCTTGGTAAGTTCAGTTTTATGTATGTAAAGTATTGAAAGAAAAAGAGAATGGAAAAGAAAATGGAACTGGAATACCAAAATCATTTTAAAATCTTTACAAAATATTTTTTTATGAAATTTGTTTTTATTCTGTAATTTATTTTAAAAAGAAACATAAACAAACAACAATCTACCTGTGAGTTCTTAAAATTAAAACTATTAATTTCCATAACGTCGAAACTCTTGAAACACATCAACATAAAAACTTGTCAATCCATCTATCAAAGTAACGCTTAATAAATCATAATTTTATTGCAATTTTTATTATAAAAGTATGCAAAATAGAGTACAATTTACAACACCATAACTATGAAATTTCTAAATATCAATTTATAATAACTTGTTAATGACTATATTCTAAGTTAACGGCTGACACTTTGTTTTAATTGGCACTTAATTAGCATTTTTAGCGTATACGTTAATTAGTTAAAATTCATTCTAAATAATAATATCGAGTCGTAACATTTTTCTGCTTACGGCTTTTTCAAAAAATTAATAATTTCCCAATGAGGTGCGATGTCGTTAAAAGTTCATTCCAAGTTATAAAAATGTTATAAAGTTTAATGAAAATTGTTATTTACGGGGTTAATTGAGGGTTGATTACACATTTAACTATTTAAGTTAAATGTGTAACAACTTTGAATTTTGTGGAAATATGAATTAAAAAGGATACTTTGTGAATATTTAATTACTTGCATAGGCGTAGCCGTCGCTTGTATTTGAAATGAAAAGTTTTTCATCTCTAACTTGTAAAATCAAATTTGATAGCAATAAGCATAATTTAAACATCATAACATTTTGAAACGAGCTGTGTATGTCTGTACATAATATTTTGTAGAAATAATTAATTATGAAATAACAAATAAATAAAAGTAGTATTTTTTTTAAAGATATCTGATAAAATTTTGTAAATGATAACGAAACAACAACCAGTATTATATGTATATTGAAAAAAGGATCTAAGATAAGATTTTTATAGCATACCTATCTTCCAATTAATTTGTCATTTGTTCGTTGTTCGTCCCTTTATCTTCGAGTCTAAGCCACCACCAAGCAAAGACAACCTTATATATTATACTTTAAACCCTTCAGTACATAGGCATATATATTTTATCATAAAAATTCAGTCAAAAATATAGCCTATACCTAATTAATAAAGGTAGAATTTATAACACAAGAACAACTTTCAAAACTGTAACCAATACATTAAAACAAACTATGTGTGTCTCATATGTTTATCACTAAGTCTGATCAAAATTATACATTATGATATTATTTATGCTGACGGCAAACACGAACGATTATAGTTTAGAGAAACGGGTTCCAAACGCCAGAATGTGACGATATAGTGTTGCTACAAATTGATTAAAATAGATTAAATAGGTTTGTAACAAAATATGTATTGATATTTAGGTAGAAAACATTCTTATACTTGTAACTGAACATGTACTTTGAGTTATTGTAATTATTTTCATTACAGGTAAAAATATTCTCGGTCGGTTTCATATATTTAAAATAAATTATAGACTTTCCTTTTCTTAAAATAAAGGCAGGGCGCATGTTTAACACACATACGCAATTCACAATTTTAATTACAAGACTGTTAGCCTAAATAATTAATCCTATGAGGGTAATTAGTATCTAATGTGTACATTACATGAAACATTAAGTTAATGAATTTAGGTAATTAGAAATTATGTAACTTACGCAAACCGCTGAGGGACGCAGCGTGCAACATTTGTTGCCTCAACAAGTACTCCCCGAAGTGAGCCTGATCCATCATCATCTTGCAGATACAAACAAACACCAAATAGAAGTCACAGCTACAGTCACTTCACAATAACATCATCAATTTAGTCTCGAAAAATACATAAACCGTCCCGCAGTTGACTAATACACAAACATACACTAGAGTCTCATAAAAAGTTCATAATTAAAAACAAACGAAGGTAGGGCAACGAGAACCAATATACGTGGCTACGGAGCGACAGCTGCGTTTACACTGAATCGCTTTAGCGTAGCAGGCGGCGCGTGCGCATCGCTCCGCCCCTTTCTCCTGATTGGCGGAGGGCGGACTAATGGCGGCAGCCGTCAAAGCCTTCGCAACTCGAATTGCCTTGTGGCGCTTTCCTCGAGCTTTCCGCCCGCCTTTATCTGACAGGTAATCGTGCTCGATTGTTACGATTGCCATTCGAATTCGATGCGTAGGCGCATGTATCGATGAAGGCCTATTGTTGAACTAAATGGATCTGACTTGAATACATGTGTGTGAGATGTTTTATATTATACATTGAGTGGGATTTATTTACATAAGGTTTCATAACTTTTATCACTTTAAACTTACAAGTTTATCACTCCCCAGTACCTATTTAACTTTATCAATCTTTGATAATAAAATTGGGTTTCAAATTAGGTACATACATTCAATAATTTATCAATTTAATAAAATTTAAGCTTCTTTATGGCGGGCCGGCTTCCTCAAAGGTTGTTTTCACAATATTTATTTATACGTGTGTTCCACGGAGTTTGAGAGGTGCCTACTAGGCGCCACGCGGCAGGTGGTCCCGTATATAAAATTCGTGAGAAACCCACGATACCTAATAATGATAGTGATTTTAGATAGATATGTGGGATTGTTATGTGCTTATGTATACTTAGTATAATATGTAGTTGCTTTATAAGTTGAATATAATGAGTTAGACGTTTAGTTTATTGTCATGAGGAAATGGGCAGGCATTTTTAACCGACTTCAAAAAAGGAGGAGGTTCTCAATTCGACGCGTATTTTTTTTTTTTTTTTTTTATGTATGTACACCGATTTCTCGAAGACGCCTGGACCGATTTGCAAAATTCTTTTTTTATTCGATAGGGTATACTTGCCATTTGGTCCCATTGTCATGAGGTCAGGATCTGATGATGGAATCCTGGAGAAACCGAAGGGAACTTTCGAAAATTGTAGGGGCGAGTAGGTTTTTTGTATGATGTTTAAGTAGGCCTTTAACAACACTACAACTTGACGAAGGTTGAAGTCGACCAGATGTTGGAGCTGGAAGACAGTCGAGGGATCTCCTTGATTATTTGGAGTAATTGCCTTGTGTTTGGGCTTGAATGATTCGTATTGCGAGCACTTTGCAGCAGGCTTGGTCGTAACTGTCATTAAGGGTCTGATGAAGAGAACGAAGGACAGCTCAGGGAACTCCTGAACGGTTTACAGTAACTACTTCGTGTTTGAACTTAATTCATTTATATTGATGAAAACTTTGTACCTGTAGGTATGTATCATAACAACTGAAGGTCTGTAGTTTACCTGATGATGGAGACAATTGACCGTCGAGGGAATTCCCGATGGAAACGAGAGACAGTCGAGAGAACTCCTCAACGATTCATAACAGCTTCCTTGTGTATGAGCTTAATTTATTCGTTTTGATGAGAACTTGACACCTTGATGGATTGTAACTGTCATTAGGGATCTGATGATGAAGACGAACGACAGTCTAGGGAACTCCTCAACGGTTTACAGTAGCTACCTCGTGTTTGGACTTAATTTATTTATATTGTTAAGAACTTTCCCTCTCCTAGAGAGATAGCCTGTGTCCCAGTAGTGGGAACATTAAAATGGCTGATGGTGATGATGATGATGATGATGAGAACTTTCCCATTTCTTGGGATCTATATTTTTTAATCAGGCGGCTCCTTTTGTTGGCCTACACGTAGCTACTTAAAAATATATACTATTCAATATGTTAATTTATATTTAAAATATTACTGTAGTTTACAAAAGAACTTGTAACAGACACTAAAAAGTAGAAAATAAAAAAAACTACGTTTAAAAAAACCGACTTCAAAAACAAAAAAGTGTCAAATAAGTAATTAAAATTTTTATTTTAATAGCACTCTTACGTACGCGAAGCTAATACTTTTAATATTAATAATAAAACACTATCAATTCTATGTGCTACCTATTCATAGGTTTGAAGTCGGTGCCAAGCCCTAAACAGAATAAAACTAAATGAGAATTAAGACTGTTTAACTGCTAAAAGACGAAATTTCCACAACTAACAACGCAGCTACCTACTACTACTTTTAACAACCAAGTACGAGAAAACTTTCAGAATTCATAATTTATCCAAATATCTTTCTAAGCTATATACAGTTTCGCCGGTAACGAAACCATATAGACTTCTGATTCTACACTAACGCCATAAAGTTAGAAAATCGGTACTAAATTTCTTAAATCCTAACAAATAAATTCAAACGCGCCCGGCGAGTTTAGGTACTCATGTAATCATGCTTATTATATTATGTATTAGGCTTGGCACCGACTTCAAACCTATGAATAGGTAGCACATAGAAATGATAGTGTTTTATTATTAATATTAAAAGTAAGTATTAGCTTCGCGTACGTAAGAGTGCTATTAAAATAAAAATTTTAATTACTTATTTGACACTTTTTTGTTTTTGAAGTCGGTTTTTTTAAACGTAGTTTTTTTAAACATAATGTATTTTGAAGTACATTACGTGTACCGTTTCAAAATACCTAAGTACACTAAAACTAATAAATTAAATAAGGAATTGGTACACAAGAAATTAACTTTATGTACCTACTTGTTGATTGTTAATATCTTTATGTGATCTTTTCAAAATAATACCATTCTTCTAAGGTAGCAGTATTGTTTTTTTTTATTCTAATCACTGTGTGTAAGTACAAGTTCTTTTGAGCTGTAGGAGTACTTGCTTATATCAAACATTATATATAAATATTAGGTATGTATTAACAAACGTACTTACATTACGTACAGGTATCTACAATAAGTAAAACTGCAAACTACTATCTACTTTTAATCACACAATTGACCTTATTACTGCATTCCGTACACCAAATAATAATTAATTAAATTCCGAAACATTGACAGAAATATGGCAGCCCATACAATCTATCTACTTATTTTTCATGTCACGTGCGCTTACATACCAGCGTACTTATATGTATAGATATATATACTCGTACATCTACCTACACAGCTAATTAGGTACTGCTAGATCTACGAATCAACTGCTAAGTACTTACCTGTCACCTGCATTTTATTAATTAAATTAATTGCAATTTCCTCTTATATCATTTAGTTGGGTAATATTTGTTAATGTTCTTCTTTAGTAAGGATAAGTAAGCGTGGGGTTTCTTTAAAGAATTTGAAATATTTTTCTTTGTAAATTGTTTGGTTGTCTTATTTTTCTTGCTGGTGTAGTTTTTAAAGGCTTCATTAATTAATTGGAAGTTGGGTCGCTGATAATGTTTTCTTTTTCCATGATCCTCCATCAAACGCAATTCCATTTTAAGACCACACACCCATTTTCTTATTGTATATCGTTCTTTATAAAATTCATTATACTTGCCTAAATAGATCTTCAGGTTTTACTAACTATATTCAAAATTTGCACACATTTTCAATCCCTATTACTAACACAGAAGGTAAGTTTGAACTTAAAGATCTCCAGATGTAATAAAGTTGCAATAATGTAAAAGTAAACACAGTTTGTGGGTTAATATATTAATAATCCAAAAAACGAAACAATTATCAAAAATAGTTGGAGGGCCTGGACCGCTCCCTTATCAACTAAAACTCGCTCAAGGACAAACGACCTATTTCACCATCTTCATAATACTGGCCGATAAGCTCATGTGGCACATAGTCCATTTAAATTACGTTCTATATTCAAATGAATCTGGTAGGTAAATGGCTGTCAAGGCATTGTGAAAGAAATAAGCATAAAGGATAGAATCTCATTGAGTCACATCTGCTATTTACTCTATATCTAAAAAATACAGTAACGGTATACTTTTTTGTATACATAAATAAAAAGGTGGGCCCAAAGCATTCTACATACAATTTCTTGAAATTGAAATGTCATTCTATTAAACAGACATTTAATTTTTAATTGATTGATTTGCTATGTTTTTGTCTTAAACATAAATTCGCTTTAGGTTATGAAGCCGTTTAATAGAGATAAATTTTATTTCTCGTATTTATTACGTGGTAATAATGGACAATGAACCTTTGCAATGCGTTCATTGTAAGGATGATAATTTTAAAGAGGAGGTAAGTACCTATCTATTATTTATCTGTGGCCTGAGTTTCATCGTTATGTTCGAAACATTTAAAATTTGAATTTCAGAATGTTAAATAATTTGTTGAATCTATTATTTATACTTACTGATATTTTTATGTATGCTTGACTTGTCTTAAAAGAAAGATCAAATTCGAGGTTTACTTAATTGCAGTAATAATTCGCAATCGGAGTATGATTGTGTTGTATATATATTTTTAAATAGACAAACGTCCTCATTTTGTTGAAAATGCCGGATTGGTTATGTGAATTAACGGAGAAAAGCTCTACTAGTTTCGAGTCACTAAGGGACTCTTGCGAATAGGAAAGCATCGCGCGCTGCGCGGCGATGTAACGTTAAATAGGTATATTACAAAACTTATAGGATGCATAAGTATAGCACTATCCTGTTAGTTAAAACCATACAACAATTTAATGTTATTTTTTGTTTTACACAATTCCTAATAAGGTACACTATAGTATTACACAATATCTACAGAGAAGTCAATTTAAATATCATTTATATAAATTCCCTAAAACCATTGTATTATATTATTACAAAAGGAACGTCAACGAACATAATTGACTGACTGAAGTTCGATGAATCACCTATGAAGAATGAGTCAGTCTGTGCCTATTCTTCTAACCGATTTCAAAAAAAGAGGAGGTACTGTGTTCGAAT